AAATTATTACAATTCAAAATAACTGTTTTCTATTTGAATGTAATTTATTCCTGTGATGCAAAGCTGAATTTTTAGCAGCCATTACTCCAGGCTTTAATGATCCTTCAGAAATCATTCTAATATGCTGATTTCATTTGATTATTTTCAGTGCTGAAAACAGTTGTGCTGCGTAATACATTTGTGATACATTTTTTTCAATGAATAAAGGTCAGAAGAGTAACATTTATTCAAAATCATAATCTTTTGTAGCATAATTATAATTAATTGATGTAAATATAATTAATACATTTGAAGAACCTTAAAATGTATCACAAATGTATTTATACATATGTGACCCTGGACCAAAAAAACCAGTCTTAAGTCGCTGGGGTATATTTGTAGCAATAGCCAACAATACATTGTATGGGTCAAAGTTATCCATTTTTCTTTTATGCCAAAAATCATTAGGATATTAAGTAAAGATCATGTTGCATGAAGATATATTGTAAATTTCCTACCGTAAATATATCAAAACTTAATTTTTGATTAGTAATATGCATTGCTAAGAACTTCATTTGAACAACTTTAAAGGCGATTTTATCAATATTTTGATTTTTGCACCCTCAGATTCCAGATTTTCAAATAGTTGTATCTCAGTCAAATACTCTACTATCCTAACAAACCATACATCAATGGAAAGCTTATTTATTCAACTTTCAGATAATGTATAAATCTAAACATTTAACTGGTTTTGTGGTCCTGGGTCACATATATGCAATTTATTTACACTATATAATGCAATAGAATTAATTAATTTATTCATATAATTTTTTTCTTCACAATCTTATTACACAATATTATTCATGATGAAAGTTGTGTGCCTTCGTTATTGGCCTTTCAGGTTATTGTCTTTTCAAGGACAAGTTGAAGTCAGGAGGGGCTGACTGGAAAAGGCACCTGTTTGAAAGAATGGTCCTTGACCTGGTATCTGTCTGGTATTTATTTGTAAATCAGGCATTTACACTGTACTAGAGAGGGGTCATGCGTGTCGGAGACAGAAAGATAGGCCATGTTGGAGAACAGAGAAAAAGCCTGTGCTTTCATTAGCTTTGAGGCATCAGAGATGATTAAAGAAGCACTGCTGGACGCACGCCTACTAAAAGAGCTGAGCACATGGACATCACTCTTCTTTCCTTCACTCTTTCTATCCCTTTATCTTATCTCTTACTTTATGTTTTGTTTGTTTATGGGCTTTTAGCCTATTTTTTTTTTTTTTTATTTTTTTTTTAGGACAGTTGCAAAGAATCAGAATATGAACCCTGTGAGCACCACAGGATTTCCTGACCCACTACACCACGGCTCTGACTCTGTCCCTTTCTTTGCTTTGTTTCTCTCACTCAGATCTGAAAAGGTGACTCATATCACCTGCAAATTAAGTTTGTTTATTTATGAGGTGTCACCTCAATTATTCTGAATTCTTTATTGCTGTAAACAGGAAATCAGATTCAGCGCAGCACAGGAAGGCAGGAGAGCAGGAGCCCTTTTTTAAACTCAGACATAGCTGGAGGGGTTTTCTGCTAATTCTCTGTTAATGTGACACAGCATGCATTTCCAGATTAATTAACCATCCGCCTGCCCTCAGAGTGCTGATACAGTGACTGTATCAGTATGTCTCTCTTAGGCCATGTACACACTCCCAGCTAAATACGATTGTCACTCTTCTGCTGAATCCTAAATCCCACTCCACACGCTAAGTTCAGTTGTTTACAGGAGTGACAATGCATTCTAGATACAAGTTTATTCCCCCAAAAATTCAGGTAGTGACAACCAGGGTTATAATTTTTTAAAAAAAGGAAAAAGTGGGCTCCCCCAAAGTCCACGGGGTATAGTTCGAACACTGGTGACAACTGTATTTACATTAATCCACATGGTGTGTAGAACCACGCTGAGCGACTGGTTTTAATGCAGCAACACTCTTTTGGTCCCTGACAACCTGTCTGAGGTGTTGTGCTAGAAAATCACAGAAACTTACGAGGTATGTGAGGTATGAGCCTTGATTCAGTTACAAATGTTGATGCATGCTTTTCTCCACTGTAGTTTCTCCCACCAACCTTTACATATATCAACATTTGTCAAATATAAAATAAAATATAGAAAATAAGTTTATTTAAATAAATTTATGAATATTTTTTTTTTGAAATTTCATGTTTATTTAAATAAATGCTTTCAAACATTCTATTCATCAAAGGATCCTGAAAAAAATGACAGTTTCTGAAGACTGGAATAATGGCTGCTGAAAATTCAGCTTTGCCATCACAGGAATAAAGTACATTTTAAAATATATTAAAATAGAAAACAGCTATTTTAAATTTGAATAATATATATTCATAATATAAAAATAGTATTCACAATTTCACAATATTATTGTTTTACTGTATGTCTGATCAAATAAATGCAGCCTTGGTGAGCATTAGGCATTTCTTTCAAAAACATTACTCTGGGCAGGCTGGGAGCGCTGGGATAATTGACGTAATTTCCCTTTATTCTGAACCTGTCTGTTGTGCTCTGTGTAAAAAGCGGCAAACATTTTAATCAACACTGACCCTGAATGACACAGCGGCTGCACATTTACACGCCAACGTCTGCATCTGACTGACAGTTGTGTTTCTGCGAGGGATTACATGCGTGGGGTAGACAGTCGGGCCCAGTGCCAACGCAAATTGGATTATGGCGAGCAATATTCTGGAAACATTTTATTATCCGAGGGCTTTTAGTGTAATGTGATTACTTTGTAATGCACTTTTGTTTTATAGACTGCTTCAGCACATTGCAGCTCCGGCTTTATTAAGCGTGAATTTATTCTGTAGTACACATCATCAGGTTGTCACCTGTTGCCTTCACAGCACTCAGGGGCCTCTAAGAGCGTTTCCACAATCCCTATTTAAATTCAATCCTCATCGTTCGTAGTGGACAAATTTAAATGTGCTTTTTGTAAAACTTTCCTGATGGTAGACTACAGACAGTGGCATTAATTTGAGCTGAGAGTTTGAGGTGTCTTCCTGTCGTGAGGAGTTACGGGTGTGTAGATTGAGGGCGATGTGTGCAAGGCCTCATTAACCTGTCGTCACGTCCGCGTCTAGGCAAGGTCCCTCCTTAGGTCAGACTCATTTGCCTGCATCTGATTAAATGCACTTTCATTACCTGAGAGGAGCACAAAGGGCACATCCCAACTGATCCCAGATCAGCCACAATGGCACAGTTTTGCGACGGCACACTAGTTGAATAGGTCTGACTTTTTTGTTCAGCATGATTGTAATTATTCCTCAGACTCCCACTATTTTACTTCGCTCCATGTCACGACTTCCACCCACGCTGCAGTATTGGATATTGGCTCATGCAGTTGTTGCATGTGTTGTCTAAAGTGGTAGACGGGCAGAACGAGAACTAATGGGCGGCTGTGGCTTTCTATTAGTGACAGGTGAGGATATGCATGCTGGCTTCAGCAGACAGGAGATTGCCGTGCTGCAATTACCATGCAGCTTGGCAGACAGACAGGCCAACAGTATTATGAGTGCAGTCTGTGTGGCAGAATGTGTCACCCCACTGCCACCTCTGCATATCCGAAAACACATCAATCTGTCCTTCTGGTTTTGTGTATTCTCCAAACTTTTCCACTTTTAAACACTCCTACACCAAGAGTATTTAAAGACCCTATTAAATTACTTAAGTGCTTCTGATTGCATAAGTCACGTTTGAAACAGCACTTTTACATTGCACAAGTTTAAAAAAAAAAATGTTGTGTCATTTCCACCACACTGAACAGTTTATATTTTTAGTTAGTATACTTGTGTACCAGTGAGACAACAGTCTAAAATGAGATGATATAAGATGCAAGAAGAAAAATTGAAATAAATATTGTTAGTCAGCCCGTAATTTTTCAGCATTTCCAATCAAGCTGTAATTGTATCAAATAGTGTGAAAATATTATGATTCTTGCTGCATTTAAGATGATGGTGATATTTTAGTATTGATTATATACTATTATAGTATTTATTTTGAATTAGCATTTAGTTTTTTTTTTATAATTTTTTGTAATTTAGTTTTTTGTTATTTGTATTACTTTTTTGTGTTTTGTACTTTACTTTTACGTTTTTGTAGCTTTATTTTTATTTCAGTTTTAATTTTAGTCATTTTTATATTTCAACTGAAGCATTTTATTTCAGTTATTTGCCAGGACAACATCTCAAGGCAATTTTGTGTGAAGTTTTTAAGTTTTTCTTTTTACATAATATTTATATATATATATTTTTATTTTATTTCAGCTTTTTTATTTCAATTAATGAAAGCAACATTTAAAAAAAAAAAACAATAACAACACTAGATACATAAAATTTGGGTATGGACAAAAAATTATATAAATAATAATAATAATAATAATATAATTATAATTCAATTATATGATTTATTCAATCTATTGTCGTTCTGAACCCACATGACTTTCTTTCTTCAGTAGAACAAAAAAGAAGAGTTTTATCAGAATGTTCATGTTGCTCTTTATCAGACAATGAAGATGGATGACAATTAGTTAACAATACTATACTAACTACTACTACTACTACTACTACTACTACTACTACTAACTACTAACTAACAATACCAGATATTTGAAATGCTAGCTATGGAATTAGTCATAGTAAGACAACGGTGTCTACCATTTTTTTCCAAAAATGTTTTGTCCATCACTGTAATGTCCATCCCATATTTAGAAATGGTAGAAATAACACTGCGGTGGGAATATTCATGACTTTTCAGGAAGAAAAAAAACAAAAACAAAAAAATTACAATTCCCTTTTGATGTTTGAATGTCCGCTGTTGGAAGAGCTGGAAAAGCGTCTACATGGCCCATAGCTGAAGAAACACCTATTGCTACGATAAGTTAAAAGCTACAAAGCTCACTTAGTTTTCATATGTTCTTTGACCTTGTCTCTGCTCTCTTTCTTCTTATCTCTCATAACATTAAGGTGATGAACGTGAGCCTGGCCGAGGGCGACGTGGTCAGATTTGAAGACCTGGCCGGCCGGGAACCTTCTGTCCTGGCCAACGAGTCCATCTTACTGAAAGGTCTGGTGGTACGCAGCTGGAGCAACCAAATCTCCATCCACTTCCGCAGCCGGCAGCCGCAGTCCAGCTCCTTGCTGCTGCGTTACCAAGGTGAGCCGTCCTACGTGTCAACCTCTAAACATCTGCTTCATCTTCTTCCCTGCTAATTGCACTTGTGCCAGTGTCTCCGGCTGGCATGGATCCAGCGCTCTAGACAGACCTGTTTATGAGTGTACACTTACTGATTAGATTGGCACGAACGATTAGGACTCTGGGAGTAGGAAGCTCTCAATCATTGCTTTCTATTAGGAGAGACTCTCTGTGCACTGAAGGGGAAACACTCCTTGTTATCTCATGTCAGCATAATATGCTCATGTTAGCCTGAAAATGACAGCTGCTGTCAATAGGCCGCATAATTACATCAGAGAATGACTTGGATAATTCTCTGCTAATAGTCTTATAACACAGTCATCAAGGGGAGATCGGCACAACAGAAAAGGTTACGGAGCGCTGATGTGCCCTGCCCCGCACAGCACTGCTTTCTCATTTGTTTCACGGGGCGATAAAATGACAAATGACTGTATACAGGCAAATTCTTTTGTTTCTGTGAGCTAATGAACTGTGGCGGGTTTGCAGTGGAGTAATATCATTTTTTGCACATCCTTAATATGCCTTTTGAATAAGAAAGTCGTTTACACTCCACCCCCTCTTTCTGTCTCTCTCTCTGTCTTTATGAGTGTGTGGGGGGTAATCAGTGGTGTTCAGCTTTCTTAGAAAAGAAGCCGTACATTCCCTCTATTTGACTTATAGCAATCATCCGTAGGAGCCAGACAGCACATATTTCATAAAGGCTCTCTGTTTCTTTGCAAAACTTCCAATTACTTCGCTCCGAAGGCCCTGCTCCCCCTGTTTCCGGTTCAATTTAATGTTCTCCAGCTGTTATGTTGGGTGGATGTGCACACGCAAGAGCAGCTAATTTTGCCACTGGGTTTACACTCGCCTTGACATTGATATAATGGCTAACAAGGAAGGAAAGGAATCAAGCAGGGATTGAGATCTAGTGTAAATATATGGTGCAGAATGGCTGTAGATTTAGGGATGAACAAAAATGATATGATTACTATATTTACTCAACCTGTTGTCATTTTGAACCCGTGTGAGTGACTTTCTTTTGTAGATGACAAAAGAAGTAGTTTAACAGAATGTTCATGCTGCTCTTTTTCGGATAATAAAGATAGTGATCAGAACCTGACCATAATTATTTTCCCTTTTGGCAAAACTCCCAGATCTATATTTAATGTATATTTATATAGCATGTCAAGATATTACATGCCAAATAAATGCCAAATATCAATGAAGTTGTGTTATTTTAGTATTCTTTTTATATTATTTTAGTATTTATTAATATTTTAATTAGATTTTATTTTATTTTTGTATTTTCAGTTTCAGTAATTTTGCTTTGTGTCATTTTTATTATTTTTTATTTAGTTTTAATTTATTCATTTATTAGCTTTATGTATATTTCAGCTTTAGTTTTAGTAATTTTAGTACTTTAACTTTTCATTAGTCTTTTAAGTTTTAATTTTTCATCTAATTTATTTACATTTTATTTTAGCTACATATTTCAGTTACCAAAAATATTTTAATAGTTTTAGTTAATGATAACAACTCTGCAATGAAGCCAAATATTAATACCAAATATGTGCATATTCAAATAGCATGAATATACAGCAGATTTTAAGGTTTTTAGATTTAAAGTGTATAATTTGTATAACTTTTAATAATATTTATAATAATTCAAATATTAATTTATAGAATAATAAATAAAGCATTTAAACAATTCACAATAATTATAATATTGAATGAAATGTTGGCCTCTTCACGCAAATCTGCAGTATGACTTTGGAGGATGTCTGTCATTTTTGCAGCTTGTCATGATTTTAAAAAGTTCAGCATGAAGATACTGTGCAAGAACTTTTATTTTCACAAAAAAAAAAAAAGTAATACAATTTTGGACTTTTATTCAGTGTACAAAAGGTAGTGGATGAACACTTACATTCTTAAATATATATTCTTTTTAAACAAGAACAACTGATGAGATGTAACAGGCAGTTTCACTTTGTTTCCAAAAACATGTTGCATCTCAATAATTTGAGGTTAGAATCTCCCTACTGATGTTAAAACCAAACCTACGGCCTTGTACTTCAACATATTGAGGTTATAGAGAGAATGATCCTCATTGAGCTACCAAATAAAATTATAGTCCACTTGATTTTCTGCAATCATTGAGGTTAGATGCAGGTTCTGTTTGCATTTTTGCACTTTATTTAAGTTTTCCTTGCTTCCTTTCACCTCACTTTCAGAAAACTACTCGTAATGGAATAACACTTCTGGATGTTTTTGTTCGAATATCAGTTTTTTTTGACAAGGTCATGTCAGACATGTCTAGAAAAAAAAAATTGGCTGTTTCGACATGGATGAACCTGTATCTCCATTTGATTGCCTCAGCTTTTTCCAAGGCTTTGTGTTGTGAGCATTAGAGTATAAACACATCAAACTCTTTTATAGTGCATTTAACTTTGATCTCTTGTCATGTGTCTGTAGCAACGCTATTTTCTACTATACCTCTAACACACCGGTCCTGTCTCAGTGTTCAGCAGGCCGTACAGTTTGACGGATGACAGATTCTCTAAATGGGAACCTCCATCAGAGACACTCACATTAAAGATTTAGACCTCTCAATAATTCAGATCACAATGAAAGGACCCTCGCCGCCCCACTTTGCGTCTGGATAAAGGTTAAACACAAACAAGGCAGGACTGATGGAGTGGAGTTAGAAATGGAGGCTGTTGGGGTCTGAATGGCCTTTCAACAGGTAATCGCCCCCTTCGCCGCACCACCAAATGCCACAAGCTTCAGATAATGTCACTCTCATACGACACTGCAGAGGAAGCACATCTGTATGCATATGCATGTGTTGCAGGTAAACTGATTTGGCGAATGCTTTAGCAGGGTATTATAAACTGAGGATCTCAGTCCTGCCCCGGTAAGAGCTCAGTTGTGTAGCTGAGCCGTGATAAAGTCGGCTGATCTGGGCTGAGCCTAGCCGTGCATGGCGAGCTGCTGTGTGAGGTGATGGCTGAGGAAGCTGCTGTAATATCCTCCACCCTGCCGCTCGCCCATCCCAGAGGAGATTAACCCTGCAGGGCGAGGGATCACCTGCTGAGATACACGCTCTCACCCACTGACACACATCCTCAGCCGAAGCAGGGCTCCACTTCTTGCTTTTTTTTGTCTGTTACTTTCTTTGCACTCTCGTTCGGCCAAAATTCACACTCACCAAGCACCACATGCAAGTAAAAAAGACTTTTGCGAGTAAATGAAAGCGTTGCTGGCCAGTTGGCATGTAACTTTTTGAAGAAAATCCTATTTTTTTTTTTTTATTTAAGGATTCAGTAAATTCATTGACTGTTGTGAGGTTTTTTTAACACTTTTTTTTTTCCTTTTTATGAACAAAATAGTAGAAACAAAATAGTTTTTTAGACGTTTTTTTACTGAGTTTTTTCACTATCACTCACAGCACAGCATGGTCTTTTAGTTTCAATCTTTCTGAAAATCCTGCATCGAATTGTGCCTTGTTTGTAAACGAACCTGTGGTAAAATGAAGTGAACAAAAGACCAAGTTCTTACTGACGCGGTCTGGAACTTCATTAAAAATAAACTTCTTCCTTTTTTGCATAGACCTGCGTTTGCCTCTCTCGTTTTTTACCTACTACATGCACGAATTGGTGGGCGGGGCTAAACAGGCAGTGATATAGAAGCAGGCGTTATTCATCTGCTGAGGAGGTGGAGTTTAGCCACACTATTACATCATAAAGAGCAAAAATCCACAACCTGTCATTTTGGCAGATTGGCTTCAATATAACGTCTTTTAGATTAACGAGAAAGTTTTGAGTTCTGAAACGTACAGGATGTTTTTATAGCAAAATGACCTCAAGGGAATTTTAATTTCTCAGTTCATGACCCCTTTAACAAAAACACAGTAAAAACAGTAATATTGTGAAATATCAATACAATTTAATCAATTGAATTTATCTCTTTTCTATTGTATTTTATATGCAATTTATTCCTGTAATGGCAAAGCAGAATCTTCAGTGTCATATGATCCTTCAGAAATCTTTCTAATATGCTGATTTGGGGCTCAAGAAACATTTCTTCTTATTATCAATGTTGAAAACATTTGTACTGCTTAATATTTTTGTGTAAACAGTGCTAGATTTTTTTCCCCCCGATTCTTCAGTGAATAGAAAGTTCAAAAGAACAGCATTTGAATTACAAATTATAACTTACTGTCTTACTGACAAAGAGGTTTTCCATTAAAATATAATTATAATAACAATTTTGAGGTTATCTGTGTCTGATTTTAAAGACAAACTGCCAGAAAATACATTTAGGTCTGATTAGGTCACACCTAGTTAAAGTTAAAGAGCTATTCTTGAGGCAGTCGGTTGTAACTGGCAATGTCACACTAGCATTGGGTCAATATCTCTCAAACCCCTCGAGAGATCTGTACTCTCAAAATGGTCAAAGTTTTATTATTTGCTGCTTGACCATAAAGTCTAAATCAAGGCATTTTATGACACAATCTTATACGCTGTGTAAGTCGTCCTTTGACCTTATTTGTCAGCAAGGTCTTCATGGAGGCACTGTAAATGCTGTCGCGCGCTGACAGACTGGATTTCTGTGATAGATGGGAATGTGGTAGTTTTATGTGTCTAGACATGCCCTGCCTTGACTCGTTCACACACCTCTCTTTCCTTCTGACCCTGCCCGCCTGTGCGGCATTGGGCCGAGGCCCTGAATCCCAAATGATCTGGAGCTCGCCGCATCCGGATTTTATTTGAGTTCCGCCCTTGTGGTTTTATAGAGCGCTAGATGAAAGTAAAACCAGTTCTAATGGATCTCTGGGTGAGCTTGACCGTGTTACAGGTGAGTCGGAATAGCTGTAAAACAAAATTAAACAATTCAAACTCTTCTGTGTCTATACGGTGTCATAGATCATTCAATTCCCTGAATTTTTCTGTTCTGGAAGACGATGACGCTTTGATATT